CAAATTTCATATGTCCAATTCACGCCAACTAAATTGAAAAGCTCTTTGTGGAGTGTTACACGGACCCAATACGTCCCCCTGGGTTTTCATTTGTTCTTCCTCCATTGCTTTCCACTTGGCCAGCCATGTCATGAGGRAAAAATAGCGAAAGGAAGAACTGTTTTGTAATCTTATCTACCTTGTACTGAAATTTAGGCCATTTTTTCTCCGGTTACGACCATTTTAAAGACTGATTGTTGTAGGAATCGGAGGAAGTATTTTGGTATTGTAACAACGATTATTCCTGGCTGTCATCGGTCTATACGAGATTGACAAAGTTTTTGAGCTCTGACAAGGACCGACAGCTGGCCTATAAAGAACACATCTTTTAGCCTGAACGGAAAAATTAAGCGAAGCCTTCATCAAGTTAAGATCATCAGTGCTAAAAAGGAAACAGAAAGCTAAAACAGGCGACAAGAAGTGTCGCTGTCGTGTGACACAGCACGAACTTCCAAGATGAAGTTCTGGAGCCAACTAAAGCTTCTTCTTTGGAAAAACTTTACTCTGCGAAAACGTCAAACGGTATGATATCTTTTATATTCTTAATTCTCTATCTCAACATCTGTAAATATAGGATTTTCGATCTGAAATTTGGGGAAAACTAAGCGTAGGTAGACGATGTTTGTGTCTCTTCCCGAGATAGAGCTGCGCCATGTTTTTTATTCCTGTTCTGGATATGTAGTTACGTAAGAATACCTACATAAATAAAAAAAAAATATTATTTTTCGTACAAATATAGGCCGATATTGTTTGTGTTTTCTTTGCTTTTACTAAGGCAACGAGGATTTCAAAATTATCACATAAAACGAAGTTCATATTTAAGGACGTACATGGAAAAAGATCCCCATCGTCAGATTTTTAACAAATTTTCCGTGACGAAAGTCAGAATTGCATGGAAGTTCGCACTTTTTATGGTAAAAACGCGCGAACAACGTAAACATTGAAAACTGTTAAAAATAAGTCATATTTTATCGAAAAAATAAATTAAAAATATAAAATGTTTATAKATTGGGCGAGATATGTGTTGATTTGGAGCCTTCACGTCACGTGAAATTCTATTCCAATTATGCACAAAATATGAAATTTTGATTTGATCCCATCGTCAGATTTTTTWATTTTTCCTTTAAGAAGTTAAGAATTACCATAGTACTTTCAAAAAACGAAATAAATCAAACCGCCTGTGGCAAACTCGCGGATATTAGCCGCACTAGCTTATTGTTTGTTGACATTCGAAGGATTCAAAGTATTTCGCTCGATTTCATATTTTAAATACTCAATATAGCTGGTAAAATTAGTAATCGTCCTTTTATTTTCCATTTAACACCTACTTTGTTTAGTTCTTTGTTATTTTGTTGAGGTTGGAAGCTTATTCTGTGACGAAACACGACTTAATATCTATTTGCTTAACGCTTTCTCTGTTTTCAATTTAAAAGTCGGGTTGAGTGCTTTACTTCAGGAATCATTCGACTTACGAGTAGCAAAAATTTTATTTTTGAGATATAAATTGTTAGTGAGAAAAGTGGGTCCAGTTCTGGACTAATAGACTTATCCCGAAATCGCTTGACTGACCACGAAACAATGGTTTGAAGTTGAGACTGGACCATAGTTTCGTGGCCAGTCAAGCGAATTCCGGATAGGTCTATTCACACTTCCCTCCACAAGAAAGGTACCCTGCAAGCAGAGGTTTTTTTCTGACCCTCTGTGGGCTGGCTGGTCAGTTTTYCTCTGCTCGCAGGATACAAGTAAGGGAAAGATAAGATGCAGAATGTTCATGACCATATCTCGAGAAGGACTTTTGAAGATTSAATTTATGTCATAACTACTTGATGTAGTTCATCATACGTGTAAGTGGTCATAACATATGTGCAGACAAATGCAAGAGGATCTTGTTTTGTGCTATTTCTTTATTTCACCATATGCATTCATACCTCTTTTCTTCAGAAGAAAAATAAAGAGAAGGTGAATATTGTTGACCCCTGGGGGGGGGGGGTACTCCCATATATGGACTAAACGGGGATGATCCGCTGAACAGGGTATGGTTTTTTGAGCTTCTCATCATAAACAGGGAATAAAATTTCACTCAAGTTTCAAGTTCTTCCTGAGTTTCCTGTCRTATTCAGTAAAAAAAACGATATGCGAGATGACATGATAATYGAAAYGGGAACTCAGTGCAATAAATTATATCTTTTGTCATAAACAGGGTCCACAAATTTGAGTTTTTTTATCATAAACAGGGTACCCCTTTCAGAATCCCAGCAGAACACCCCTACCCAAATTCTGGCGGAGTACCCCCCAGGTTTAGACCATCTCTTTAGGAGGACTTTTGAAAATACAAATATGCATGTACAAACTCTCAATAACTTTTCTTTGCAAGAGGGCCTCATAATCATTAGTATGTACTCAGGCCTTATTTGAATGGAATATGTACTGGTTAATTGATTCTACTTAAATCTCTTTGTCCTAAAAAACTCATAAGACCTTTACATTAATCTTTAAGGCTGGGCTATTGAATCCCATGCACTGTGGGGACCTTTAGTGCACATGTATTTATTTAGTCCAGTATCCTAAAAATCAAGCATTCTGATCGGTAGAGTGAGGGGACACTATCTTTGAATCTAGCTTCTTGAGTGCTTAAGCAACCTCCCAAGTGCTCCCAAAACTTGATGGATGCACGCTAACCAATTACCAATGCTTTCATAACATRGCAAAAGTGTAAAAATTCTTCGTTAATCCAGAAAAATTCAAATGTTTTTTCTAATGAAATTTGCATTAAATAGCACGCGCTACTCATTGATGCCTGCGGCGTGCACCATGGGTTTTTGGATGCACGCTTGCACACACTAATTAACCAATCAGAGTGCGCATTATATCGTGGCTATGTTATAAAGTATTTTGGGATAAGAAATTGCTCAACAACACAAAAAATAATCACAAAGCCTRTTACGTGTATGATGACAAGATTTCTYTTACTCTATACTTYGATGCCTTYAGGCATCATTCCCAARAGTGACAAAAAAAATTGTACATAGTCTTAAATTCAAGTCAGTGTGTGGGGACATTAAGACCGCACTTCAAAAACATTTATAAAATTTATGAAATAAAGCATTTTTATTACCACTTATCCTTTGACTTATCAATTCTTTTGTGGTTGGGTTGTGATGGAAGAGGAATTCTTCAAAAAGGAAAGCATGAATGGATCTATCATTTGAAGATTTATGAACACTTCTTTAGGAGTTAAGAACTTGAATCTTTAAAACAAAAGCAAGAGGTGCTTAGGGTTTTTTGAAGTTTGACAACTAAAATATTTTTTAAATGAAAATTAATATCAACAATTCAGATCAAGAAGTACACAACTTTAATGCAAAAATATCAATCACGTTTGAATGCAGTATTTGTAAAAAATTATTTTTATCAAGATTAATTTGGTTTGTTTTTTTTTTTTTTCTTTGAAAATTTCATTTTTTAACAATTTTGTTGTTGTTAACAATTATTTAGCTTTTAAAATTATTATTTTTAAACAAAAATGTGATAAAAACTTGCAAATGGATCATGCATTTTCTCAGATAATAAATTTTGAAGGTTGTATATGGAGTATTTTAAGCATCTTGTTGATTAATATTTGAGAAAAATAAGAAGGAAAAAATATAAAAGAAAATCAAATATTAAATWAAAAAATTGCATGGATGATGAAATTCCCAGCAGGTGAAAAGGTTTGTTTGCTGTGAAMAATTCTAAAATAAGCTTCTTTCTATATTTGCTTTGCATASAAACATRCAAAGCAACAAGAAAGRGAAAAAGAGTACCRTATGTGCATTATACACATAAGTTTTAAGTAACTTGGACATYATATTTTTCGATAAATTTMAAACCAMGTCATTCTYTTGAGAATAAGAAATGTGAAATGTGTAGTTCAGGAAATTATCCATACCCCAATTTCTGAGTTGTAAAAGTCAAAGAAAGTACAAAATTTTCAACAAGAGTTTGTATGGAAGAAAGAAAATTGGAATTTCCGAGCGTAGGGGGTCTTGTGGGAGGGCATACCTGGATATGGYATAGATAGTTTCTGGAACAACGCAATCTTTGTTCGAGTTGAATGCGTATTCATGTGTCTTCTCATGCACGCAAGTTGGACAAAGATGTAACACTTTAGGGTTTGACATCAGGTGTTAAATGAGAGTCATAATGAGTAATTCAGTGCAATGAAAATGTCAAAGAAATTAAATTTGAAAATCCATAAGGTATAAGATGTTTGATGGAAATTGAATAGAACATCAGTGTTCAATATATGAAAGACGTCACTGAGACAGGAAATGATGTATGCTATTGAGGACATTTAGAATTACCAGTGTCATAAATAGAGGATATTACATGGGCGCGC